AAAAAGTCTTGTGAACATGAGAATATAAATCATGAAAATTAACTCCAATCTTTTTATTTATTACTGTAGCCAAAACTCAGTACACCATATTCATAGCAGTTTATCATCATCAGCATCATCCTATTGCAATTGACATAATCACACTTTTATAAAACAAAAAAATAAAGACTTAAGTTTAAACAAACAACTCTCATGATTTCTAAAATTACCAAGGGAGAATATGGAATTAATAAATATTAACAATATAGCCTTACTTAACTAAAGTTAAGAGGAAGAAGTAGTGTCGTGTTTGTCAATTAATCTTTATACTTTTCAAATACAGGATTATTCTTTCAATCTTCTTTCCCTACATATATATTTAAAGGTGATTGAATTAGTGGCCTGCTACACATGGATGTATATAGGAGATTGTAAAATGGACATGAGTTATTGCAGGCTTGAACATCTGATTTGCATTAGTGAAATAACAAGGATTAGAGATTAACAAAATGAAGCACACATGCTACTATAAGCACACACAGATATGACAGTTTGCTGTATTACTCGAGTAGCATCGATGAGTGACAACATCGAGGAGAAAGAACACTCTCTAATGGTTCAAAGAAATTCCGCACTTCGAGTTTTCATCAAGAATTTAGTTCGTTAGCAATATTCAACGTGATAATTATAGTTCCAAGCAGCATGATACCTATAAGAAAGAAGGCAATGCCATTTCTTAGCTAATATTGACCTCAGTATTAGAGTCCCCCAGCTTCAATTCACAGTGGTGGGAAGGAAAGAATTTCTATCAATCCATTATTTTAACAAATCATCTGATCACAGAATGTCAGTCGTAGCATTGCCACCTGTTTCTAAAGGAAAGGAAAGAGACAAACTCCAAGCCGTATTTATTCTACTATCTAATTCACAAAACATTGTAAAAACGATACAACTTAATGCTCAAGATTTATTATTTAAAATAGTTTGAAAATGAAAATATATGCTACTTACTTACCTATGAAGTGTAATGCAACAGCTCACTCCAAGCAAATCCCTGTGTCATTACAGAAAGCGATGTAAATAAAAACCTTAAAATTTCAATGTGTATATGTCAGTCAATTGATGCTTTTAAATCCACTGATCGACGTAATTTTGCATACTCTCCTGTCTAAAGTTTCGTTTTGACAAATATTTTGAAAAACTCTTCTAGAAAAACAAAATTTACCAGACAATATCCTACTTTTAGAGAATGCAAGCATATATGCATGAAAGCTTAAAACTCACCTATAATCCAACAAAACAGAATAAAGTAAAACAAATACCTAACTATATAGGCAAAGTTTGCAGTTTGGGGAAAATGTAAAGCAAAGAACATCAGAGTGCCCATCCTTGAACAGGTGCATAAAGCAACTATGCATTGTGTTCTACATTTCAACGCTGATAATTGCACGGAGCCGTGACTTCCAATTCGATTTGCTATTTGTCATTCAACATCAGAAAAAGCTAGACAAAATCAAAATCCTCTAGTCAGCTCAGTAACAGCATCAAGGTAGGCAAGAATCCTTGCCTGTTAAATTGTTACATTGCGAGCGTCTTCTTATATCAGCGGCTTAAATCAGAATTCCAATACTTTGCAAAAACGAAAGCCGCTATATTGGCATGACAATGTATGTGTTAAATCTATAATTTGCAATATATCCCTTTATCACCCAGTCTTACCAATGATATTTAATAAATTTTGAAATAGGTGCTACGAGCATTATGGCAATTGGTGAAGTTTTAATAGGTATCAAATGTACTGATATAAGTACCAAGTATTATTAGTATATTTAGTACCTATTAAAACTGCACCAATACAGTGCACTTATAATATAGGTACTGTGGAAATAGGTTTTTTTACGGCCTCTCAAAAGAGATAAGTATCAGAAAAAATTGCTTGATTGAGGTAAATTTTAACTATCACGAGTTGGCCTTGAACCACAGAATCATGCCAAATTGTACTGTATACAGTTAATTTTTATTTTGATGGGCTGAACTACTAAAAAGGTATTGTTTTTTCTTAAATCCAAAAATGGAAAGCGACTAGAAAAAGCAAAAAATAATAATAAATGAAAAAAATTTTTATTATTTCAGCTTTATTGATTTTCTTAGTACATATCTTTCAGTTTTGTGACTGTTTCCTTGAGTTTTTCGTTCAGTGCTGAATTTTTTATTATTAACTTTCTTTTTTACCCCATACGAAGAACAGGTATTCAGCTGGTTGTTACATAAATTATACCAACAATAATATTGATCAGAAATGAGACTTAATATGTCTTAATTGATTTAGACATATAAACAGGACAGATGAGACTCAGTGATTAAAACAGAGCAAAAGTGTATTAGTTTCCAAAACCCATAATTCTAAAAAAAGTTAAAGTACCTAAAACTGCAAATACAACTATAATATGCTTACTGCAGATAAAAAATATATAAACTGCATGTAAAAAAATAATGGTCTGGGTCTATGACAGTCTAGCCAAAAGAATATTAAAGAACAAAAACATAATAACTTGCATAAGAAAAATTTATAATTTGTCAAATTAATTTCAATACCATTTTTAAACACCGAAGTTATATCATTAAAATTCCTAAAAAGTAAAAGAATCAATTCATATGCTCAAGGTTTTTCGAAAATACACACACACAATCATATATATGTACAGGGCGAGTTTGAACAAGATGAAAGAATTTTGCTGGGTGATAGAACCCATCTTCACGAGCAATATTCATCATAGAATGTATGATTGGAAGACAAACAGTGACAAGTTAAAAGGCAGTTTCCCACTGCCACATTCAAAGAATAAATACAAGAATGGGAAATGTTTCAGAAAACTTTTTATTTATGGCATAGCTGCCAACTTCATGGGTGCCACTCTTCAGTATTGGGGACTGAAATCAGTCTTGAGAAAAATCAATGTACTAATAAATTCTATCAATATAATTAAATTTTCTTTCTATTTTCATTAGAAATATAAAAATTTTTTTGATCAAATTAAAAAAATAATATATCTTAATGAAAACATATGATATGGTAATGATGTTAGGACTTTTATTTGTGTTCTTTTTGTCAGCTTCAATAATTCTTATTCTTAAAGTCTTGACAAATGTGATTGATTGAACTTCATCTACTTGTGTAATTAAATTTGTTCTATTGCTGAATCTAAATCGGCTTGAGTTTGCTCCCCATGCAAGCATATATNCCCCCCCCCCCGAACCTATTGCGATGCCCGGCAAAGTTAAATCAATATTATTTTTGTAAAAAAAGGAAAAATTATAGTGCTAGAACAAAAAATAAGTAACGGTGGAGTGAAAAATAGAGATATGAATGGCTTCAGGTTCTAAATATACAAGGTCAGCTGTTATTTTCGTTTTGTTTGCTAAAAAAACAAAATAAAGAACAAAAATTTTTAGAAAAAATAATCAAATGATTGATTTAATATGTAGGCTATTATGAAGGAAAGGTAAATTTTGGTGTCAGTAAGCTATAAAATTCTAAAGTTTGGAAAACAACGTAAGACAGTATTATTTTGTCAAAAAATAAGTTCAGTCCTGACATTTTTTTAGAATGGCACCCCTGCAACTTGTTAAAAACAAAAAGAGGAACACAAAACATGATAAGCCAATCAGGGGAAATAATGACACAAAGAGTAAAACAAAATATCAAAAATCATAAAATCAGTAGCAAAATATCAATTTATAAACCATACACGCTTCATATAACATAATTTTTGAGTTAACAGTTTTAATTAAATAACATATTAATGAAGAATATCACAACTTTATAGTAACTAATTAAAAAAACTTACTTCTTACAAGAATAGCGATATTGGATTCTAAAACTCGCGTGAATAGGTATAGCAATATTGGATTTTAAAAACCAGAAAATACAAATTGCGATATTGAATTTTTAAATCGCATAAATTTTAAATCAGCTAAATACCAAAATCGATTATTGATATTAAAACCGTGTGAATAAGAATTGCGATATTAGCAGATTCTGACGGAGTTCCTAATATTTAAAATGGCGAAAATCAGCTAAATCAAAGGAATCAAATTGGTGTAAGAATCTTAAATGTCTCGTTGGCGTGATTTAGCAAAAGTTTCAAAATTTCGTTGGATTATAAATTTTTGATTCACAGAAGTCCGCTAACCAATGGTCTTGAGATACGTTGAAATGTGCAAAATTCGCGGAAAAATCACATGCCCTGCTTCTAGGTTTTTAGACCTTTCCTGGGTTGAAAGAAAAGTGGCATAAGAAGAGAAAAGGTGCTAGAATATCGAAAAATTGGATCATTTTGATCTATAATCGTATTTTCGGAACAAACTAAAAAATTCGGAACAAATACGATTTCATAGGAACATTTGGCAGCTATGTTATGGGAATACGATTGATGTAAAAAGAAATTGCTCAAAAGAAAAAGATGCAACTGATGTATTAAGAATTGCTCGAATGTATATCGCTCCCAACAATGCAGGTGTGAAGCCTGCATTGCAAGTGCAGAAGATATTCTGAGTATCTCTTCGTGAAATCATTTAAAATCTTTCCCACAAAGAGAGTAATAAGATTGATCTAATGCTCTCAGAAAATGTGGTGATGTGTCATTAGTAGGGGTTATCCACATTACTAAGACACATTAATATTAAATATATTGTCTATAGAGATATAAAAATCCTTTTCCAATGTCAAGTCGCCTCTTCTCTATCTAGACGCCAGAATGTAAGGTTACAATTTTCGGGTCTCGGCCCTTACTTAAACAAAATTCTATTTTTTTCCATGTTCCTGTATATATTTTCAAAGACCACACAATGAAATTGCTACACAATGAAATCATAATATTAATACTTTCAAAGCATAACACACACATATTATATATACACACCCATAAATTTGTATTAATTATTTTATTTGAATTCTACTAAAAAATTATTAATATTTTAAAAATATGTACTTTATTTTACAAAATGATAAATAAATTTACCTCCAATCACCAGGTTAAAGATTCCAATAAAACAAACAAAGGTTAAAAGACTTCTTAGTTTCATTTTCAATATCTAGTTTTCTTTACTACAATAGAAAATATAAATGTATAAAAATACAGGTAATTAAAATTATTAAACATGTACTAAAATGTTTCAACTATGTGAATTATTAGTATTTATATCAGAGTTTATTTTACTGAAAAAAAAGACGTGAAAAATAGAAGTATATCATTAATCTCACTTAGGATAATTGCAAAATATTGAAATGAAACTATTTTAGATTTTCGCCTTCCCTGTGGCAGAATTGCGGTGACATTGTTGCAGAACGTTACAGGGGTTTTTGTAGATAAACGTTTCATTTGGGAAGGGAGAAATTTTGGTTTTCCTTTCTGCATAATTTTTTGAAAAATGTTCTTTTTCTTCTGCTGAATTTTTTTTCAAAGATGACTTTCTTGCGCATCAGATAGGAAAGAAATAGTGATTTTTCAATTCTCATTTGAGATTTTTTAAAAAATCAGTGATAACTGGCATCAGCTAGAATTTCATATTAATAATATAAAATAGAAAAAAAGCAGAAATTGCAAAAGCAGAAATTATGTTCTTTCTTTCATTTTTTCTTTCTTTAAGAAACACCATCTTTATTTTGGGAGTTATTGCACAGAATTTACAATTTTTTAATTTATGTACAGATTTTGATTTATTATCATTTAAATTATTTACGAATTTCAATTTGTGTGATAATTTATAAAATTAAAAAGTGGAAATAATTAGTACATTTTCCACCAACAAAATGCGAAAATATCAACTATAATATTAGAATTAAAAAATTTTACATTCACAATTGAAAATTTTTATATAGTTTTATTCTATACTTTCTTTTGTAAACACAATGGTTCTGTAACTTTAAATTAGTAATTGTTATAATTAAAAGTATCTCAAAGCAAAATATATTAGTGGTAGGGAAGTATGTCGCAGAAAGCCCGAAAAAATTTTGCGACGGGGTTCCCCTTTAAATGTGTGTTTACCTTCTATCTTTGCAGAAAACTTTTATTTAGAGCAAATTTTAATTGGGGATAACTACTTCTTAATTAGTCTGATGATTACAAACTATCAAAATGAAACTTTGTTAAGTTTTTCAACTTTCTTAAAGAACACATGGTCCAAATTTTAGTTTTTAATTTCATGGGAAATTAGTGAAGAGTGAGGGCCTTTTATATATACACTGAATGGCCAAATTATTATGACCACCCCCTCAATGCAATGTTGACCACCTTTAGCCCGTAATACTACTCAAATTCTTCTTGGCATAGATTCTATGAGATGGTAGTAGGACGAATTTGACCCCATATCTGATGAACTGCACTTTTGAGTTCAGTCAGATTGGATTACACTGGATCCAGCTGTCTAATGCCCTGTTTGATCTCATCTCATATATACTCAATTAGATTGAGATCTGGTGATTGTGAGGGTGAACGAAGCAAGGTAAAGTCAACGTCGTATTCTTCGAACCATCTGACGAAAAAACAAGCTGTATGACAAGGAGCATTGTCCTGCTTAAAGTATATTTTTTATAGTATTTTTTGTTTATCATGCTCACATATTTATGAGCAAAAGGGAATATTTTTGATTGTATTCTTCATCAAAATATTAATCAATAGTTAAAAAGCCCTCTTTGAAAAACCTTTTAATGGTTGAAATACTTCGATTAGGGGTTTAACATATTATTCAACTTCTTGTTTTAAAGAAACCAAAAAAAGTGACTCACCTTGGGACACAGTACACCTTGGGACATTTTTATTTTTGGCCTAAAATTTTAAATTATCTCTTAGTTTTTTTAGATTCAGATCTATGTAAACATCATCTAACTTTGGAACATATTTTGATTCTATTGATTAAGCAGGTAAGAATTTATGAAGATTTTTATTTTTGAAGCATGTTTACTTACTTTCATATAATAGTTTAATTAGTTGCAGAAAGAAATTTTAATGAAATTATTTTAATAAAGGGTAATATAATGAAATATAAAGCTTTCGATTTAGAAGTTAACAAATTTAATTGTTTCAATGCCAAGCTTAAAAGTATGATATCTTAAAATTTCATATTCAGTAAATAGTGCACCAAATGGAAGTAGCCCACCTTGGGACACTAGATATACATAATTAATCCTTATTAAAAATAGATTTTTAACAAAAAGATATAGTACATGTAAAATGCTTTTTTCTTTATACAATCTGTGTTTATTAATAGTTATTATTTCTTATTTTAGGAACATATTAGACTTAACTAATGGCAAGAATTAGAAGCAAAGAATATAAAAATAATGCAGCAGTTCTTGCTACCAATGTTGAAAAAGCCACTGCAGAAGTTTTATCAGGAGAACTGACTTATTGGAAAGCTGCTGAATTCTACAGTATTAGTGAGACCACTCTTTACCACAATATTATTTTCTTTAAAGAAGAGAGCAGCCAAATTCTAACTTTAAATATATTTCAAATATACAGAGTCGCCAATGGCAGTACCTCGAAAATATGTTCTTGATTAAACAATTTCAGTAGTAACTCAGAAAGTAACTGAGGACAAAAAAGGGAAACATCTGCAATTTATACAGACACATCTAAAAAAAGGCACTCAAAGATGTTATTAAGAATGAAAAGAACTCTCAGGGAAACAATGTATGAATAGAAAAGTCAAAAAAGTGATTAAACAATTTCAGTTCAGCAGTAGTAGTGAATATGAGGATTTAATACTCTCAGAATTATTGGGTAATACATCTGGAAAAAAACCAGTAATTAGTGATCTATGTCATAATAACAATGATGATGCTGTTTGTAGCTTAAATGAAATGAATAGTGCAAGTGACAACAAAATATTTAACAATAAGAAAAAAGTTCATCTACAAAAAAGTGGTGAAACTAGATTATATGTTGGAGATTTTTCTGTTATCAAATTTGCTGGTAAAAGATCTATTGTTGCTTTCGTAGGTTGCATTGAAAGAGTTAATGGAGATGAATACGAGTTATTTTTGATAAGAGTGAATCAATCTTCAACATTTATTTATCCCGAAAAAGAAGATAAATCATACATAGATTTAAATGACATTTTGTTAAAACTTAAAGAACTAGAGCAAAGCACTGAAAGTTCTTAAGATTTGGTATTTGATTCTGAACAATTGATTTCTATTGAATATAAAATTTTCTAATTGGATTTGCATACAAGTACTTGAAACTAATAAAATAAAGCTTTACCAACAAAATTAGGAAATGTAAATTTATTTAGTTATACTATTTTTAAAAAATTTCTACTTAACTTTTCATAGCTTTTAACTGTCCCAAGGTATCCCACTAGGAGGTACACCTTGGGACAAATAACAAGGTAACTAAAAAAAAATTTAAATTTTTTTTTATGACAGATACAAAATCAAAACATAATTAAAAATATTTTCAAAAGTTGCAAGAATATCAGATAAAATTTTGACAATAATTGATCAAAATAAAAAATTTAGAAAAAGGTAAAAAAGTGTCCCAAGGTGAGCCACTCTTCCCGAATATTAAACTGTTTCCAGTCAAAATATGCAATTAAAATGAAGAACAGAAAACTGCTATCAAGAATTAAATTAACACAATATAAATAAACAATGTGGGGAAAAACGTTCAACTAATTTTATAGTAACCATAAGTCGAACATAAATTATCAAAGCAAAATTGTATATTAAGTTTACAATGGTAAACTAGCAAAAAGTGTAAGTTTAAACTTTATTCAAATAGTCTCAGAAATTAAATCTGTGTTAGTGCATTAAAAATTTTGGGTTCTTTTATTTATGTAAATTTAATTTTTTTACTGTCATGAAATAAAAATAGTAGCACATAATAAACCTCCCAAAAAATAATTACGCTGCAACAAAACAAGTTACCTACCAGATATTTAACTTTCACATAAGCAAATCCTGCATTTTAATTAAGGATACATAAATAAAAATTTTAAATATTTCTGAAAAAAACTAAAACATCCCATGTTTTGGATAAAAAAAATAATAAAAATTAGTTGGGTTGGGCTTTTTTAAAAACAGTTTTTTCAAACCCTATAAGGAAAAACTTTCTAAACTTGCAAAACTTGAAAATGCTGTGGTTTGCCCGGGGAGGGGTTATAAATATGCCCCTTATGCTTGTTTTTTTAGTTTCACACATGCCACTGTCTAGCGTTGCCAAAATTTGGAGACATTTTAGGCATGTGTATCAATATGAAAATCTTACCCTATAAATTTTAATGATAGATATCAAGTTGCACTAATTGTAAATGTTAATACTTTTAATGATTAACATGAAAATATATATCTTCCTAAAAAAAGAATCTGGATAATTCCCTATTGTGATCTATTTAGATTAGATTAGATTTAAAGATTGGGCAGCTCTGACGAGCAAGGCACGTCGATCAGAGGTCTATTGTACCCGAACCATGATTAGCATGAAAGCCCTATAGCTGAGATGAAATTCAGCAGACACTTTACAGGAACGTCTTGCAGTTCCGGGGTGTTGACACAATGTTGCCCTAAATTCTCAAATCCTTGAGCAGAATAGACCTCAGAATCGCAGAGTATGTGTCGTGATGTCTCTTCTTCAGGATGACAACCCCGACAAAGAGAATTAGATTCTATTCCCATTATGTATAGGTGTCTTCTGAGGATGCAGTGTCCAGTAAGAAGACCAATGATCTTCCGTAGACTATTTCTATTAAGCTTTAAAAGCTCTTTTTGACGTACACTACAGTCGCGATTTCCTCCTCGACCGTCAGCAGCGCGCCATTGCTCATGGGCAATTTTGCCATAGAGCTTGAAAGTGGATGCCCCAAATGAGGTGGGAGAAATTCCCAGTGCAGGTCCAGGGCCCCAGAAAATTGCATTAGAGCTAGCTCGTGCCTCTTCATCAGCTAGCTCATTTCCACCGATACCCATATGTCCAGGTACCCAATGCAGGGATACCTTGTTATGAGTGGATAAGTCACAGAGGACCGTGAAGCATTCCCATTCTAACAAAGAGGTGAATTTGTACCTTGACAGTGATAGAAGAGCAGTCTGACTGTCAGAACAGATGCGGATGGTAGTGTTTTGATATCCCTTATCTAAGCATATCTTGCAGCACAGGATAATGGCATAGACCTCAGCCTGAAAAACAGTGGCATAGTTTCCCAAGGGAAAGTGAAGTTTGGTACCATCATTGGAGCAATAGATCCGTGCTCCTGATTTAGCACCAATCTTTGAACCATCAGTGTACCATATTAGACATTTGCCTTTAAGCCACCGAGGAGAATTAAACCATTCTTCTCTAGTAGGAAAATGGATCTTAAAGGGCTTGTGAAAAGCATCTTTTAGTGACATGTAGTCACTAGGCATGATAAAAGAGGGTATATCCACCACTTGTGAGACAAGATGTCCCCATGACAAGTTTTTGGAATACTCTTTCCATAGACCAAGGTGCATGAGACGCTTTCTGTCTGTCTGAGCTTCAACTGCAATGCATAGGTTCAATGGAAGAAGCCCAAATAAGCTCTCTAGAGCAGCTGTAGGAGTGGTCCTAAGACAGCCTGACAGGGCTACACAGACCATTCTTTGTAGTCTATTAAGATTACACCTTGCAGAGCTCAATCTAGTCCTCGACCACCAGACGATTGCGTCATAAGTGATGATAGGACTAATAATCATTGAGTATATCCAGTAAACTATTTTGGGGGATAATCCCCAGGTTCTACCAATAGCATTTCTGCAAGACCAAAAAATCTTCCTGGCCCTGCTGGTACAGTATTCAAGATGATAACCCCAATTTAGTTAGGAGTCAAAATAAACCCCGAGAAACTTGACTTTCGAGTCCCAATTTAAGGTCTAGGTAGTACACATTACCTAGGTCAAGTTGCCTTTTTCGTGTGAAGGCTGCATAGCTTATCTTGGAAGGGTTAACAGATAGGCCCAGGCCCGTTCCTAACTGATTCGAGAGGGGGGGTGTTGAAGTTTATTTTGCCGACTGCCATGTACGTATATATATATATATATANACAACAACACCATCATCAGCATACCCGATAAAGGGAATGCCAAGATCAGTTAACCGAACTAACAAGTAGTCCATTACCATACACCACAGGATAAGGGACAAAACCCCTCCCTGGGGGCACCCTGAGGTTGCATGCACTTTCATGCTTGCTCCCAGTAAAGAGGAACAAACATAACTAGAGGATAGCAATTTAGCTATCCACCTGGTAATTGTTGAGTTGGCTCTGTTCTTAAGTGCATTGATGATAGTCTCAAGAGGGACTTTATCAAATGCACCTTCAATATCAATGAATACTCCTTATCTGTGATTGATTTCTCAAGCAGGTAGGAGAGCTCGTATAGTGCGGTGTCCGTTGAGTTTGCCAGGCTGATAGGCATGCTGTGTGGAGGACAGTGGCCTATCTATGAGTACAGTGTCTCTGAAGTATCTGTTGTCATCTATTGTGCCAGGTAGATCTTAAACTTACAATTAAAAAAAAACAAACATGTAGATGTTTGCCCCAGGGTGACGACAAGTTATAACTCAAGTTGGCCCACCTCATGATTTTTCTCTTTTTACTTCCTCATGGGTCGCTGCCCGGAAGTTTCCAAGGCTTGGAGATTATTTTGTTGCAGAAATCCTCCCAAAGAATCAAGAAATGGGAGAAATTTACATATTGTGATCTGTGGTAGAATAATCGACAAGTCTTGGCCACTTCCGGGCAGTGGGCCAGGAGAAATTTTTAAAAAAATCACAGAAAGGGACCAACTTAAAGGTTATGACTCGTAGCCAACCCCCGGGCAAACATCTACACCTTTTTTTTAAATACCATAGGAACACCACTACGTGTTTTCATTTATTTATTTTCAAAATTTTCAAGTTTAAAATCCATTTAAGAAATGACGATGTATTTGGGGGATATTTCCATACTATAATCTATCAAATGAATACTATCACTTAGGTGCCAAATGAACTTTTGACTTTGGATATATTTTTTAAAAAAATATCCAGAGAATACTACGACTATCAAGAAAAATACTACGACTTATAACCTTTGAGTTGGTTCCCTTCTTTGATTTTTTGTTTCCCTCGCCGGCTGCTACCCGTAAGTTGCAAAGACTTGGCGATTATTTTGCCGCAAATTAAGATAAGGAAATATCCCCACATTTAAAACTATTACTAGGACATTTTAAGTGCGGAATTTCGTAGAAATATAACATTTCTTAAGTGGTTATTCCATTTTCGTTTGTTTTTTTCCTAGCAGAAGACGTCGAGTACTTCATTAAAAACGAGAGAAAAAACAAAAAACTGCTTACGTAATACTAACAATACACACAATCAACGCGTAAATTCTTTCAACAGCATAACTAATTTGAAATTTCATTTCATTCAGACGACAATCATTTTTATATACTCTTCTTAATCAAACTATTCAATCCAATCAGCTGTCATTTTCTTAAAGTTAACCAAAACAAACAACTCACACGAAACAGTATTGCCAGAACTTAAGATTAAAAAGTAGCGAATGGAAGCTCCAAAAGTAGCGGATTCGAATATTTCGTAGTCCCAAAAAAATACGTTGTTTAAAAGCCCCAAATAAATTAATTAAAATAAGTAGAATTTCAATGTATTGCGTAAAAAATTTTGTCAAATTCAATATTTCGTTTTAACTCAGATTTAAAGTCACGTGATTTATTTTATCGAAATAGACAGGGACAGTGATGACGTATTTTTTGATGTCAAACCCCGCCTCCTTCCAAACACGTTCCAAACATTTTTTCGAACGAACCATTTCAATGGCATTTCCTATGTGAATTTAAGACGGCAAGATTTTTAGTTTATTATTGAAATAAATAAATTTATATAGCTCTTGTAAGGGGCTTATTCCTAATTTAAGTAGTTTTCTTTATACGGGGTATCAGTAGATTTTACGAGTTAAGTGCATTAAATGCTATAAAAAAATTTCAAAATGGTCAAGTTATCTTTAATTTTGATGTATAAAAATTTAAGCATCAATATTTTTAACTCTTGTTTCATGTTTATAATAATGTCTTATTTTATTTAGAATTTGTTACATATTCTTTATCTACATCTAATTTTTTTCTTTAGTTATGGATAGGCATGCATTGTTTTTAAAAACGTTTTGTAATTTTTAATCTATAATTAGATTGTATTTATCAATACTAATGTCTGTTTATTTAATTAAGTCTGATGATTAAATTTGTAGTTATTGTAAACTTTGTTTGCTTAAGATTTTCTGATTATTGCTGCTAATTCTCATTAGCTTTAGTTTTTAACTACTAAATAGGAATAAATTATGTTACTAACTTATTGTTAAATGTGCACAGAGTTTTAGTTTAAACTGAGATTTATTTTGACTTGAGATTTTTTCTTGTTATATTTGTCAACATCATCATTAAATAGTTTTTAACAATAATTTTATGCATTAATTTTTTGAGAAAATTAAGATACCTTATTATTAGATAATTAATATTAGATTATTCTTAACGTTACTAGTGTAGTGCTATGTTAATGTGTAGTGTTATGATAGTGCAGTGTAGTGTTATGTTAAAAGGGTCAATACTATGTTTAGTTTCCAGAATTTTAATATATAGAATAGCTAAATTATTTTAAAA